GGGGTATAGTTTAATTCAGAATTGCGCATCCTCTTCGCAACAGACGTACCGTAAGACGGTACAATTCGTGTAGGAACAGATATTTACGTCTCTAAATCTCTTACTGGCAGTATGCCATTGAATATGCACGCGAAAGTGGATTCCACAGTAAATTTAGGTGCGGAAATCCGCCTATCGTAATATAAAACAGAACATCGACTTCTTTCAATACTTTGGAACCCCGTTCCAAGCTCTTGACCTTCAGGCGACAAATGCGGGGGGAATGGAGAAGGGGGGAACACCTCAAACTTTTCCTGCAATATGTTCGCTTTGAAATCCATCAATTGCGCTGTGCAAAAGATAGTGTTGTGGGGTTGATGATTGGAGGTCTTTCGCACCAAAATCTCATCAACTTCAGTTAGGTGGACGGCGCCTCTAATTTTATGTGCGCAGTTATATGAAAGGGTTTCCCGTGAAGACGATGTAATCAAACGATGAATGCAAGACACAGATTTGCAGCTTCATATACAATCCGTATATGTAGCGCAACCCATTCACTTCAAGCATACTTTCTCTTCGTCAGCTACCGTCTACTTAGAATAACCAATTAAACAGTGCTTGTGGAATTTTTAGAATTTTACCTCATTCTCAGGCTGATCTATCACGACCCATAGTGCAGTCCGCATTATCGCCTCTTCAACCTCTGTGCAATCAATCGCAATCGACTTCCCAACTTGATTAACCGAGATTGATAAGGGAGCACTAAAAACAGAACATGAGAATCCATTTGAGCAAAATTCAAACCAAGCTCAGTGTGAGGCTATCATCAAATTGTCGGCATTTTCACAATATAAGTGCATCAAAAATTTCTGAAATTATTCAGAAATCATTCATGGTTAAAGAAAAGTGAGATCGAAAACTTAATATGTATTAGGTCACCAAAATTTAGCCCTCTACAGAACCCTAACAGAAGATTCACACACTTCTTCCAAGATTATCAACCACAAAGAGCGAAAATGATCATAGCACGTACCATCATGGCCTTTGTGCTTAGAGAACAGCAACAGTAAATCGCACATAAAGAGCTCTGCATGATGGCGAGAGTCGGTAAGCTTGCGGCCATTGCACACGCACGATGCTACAAGGCCTCAAACCTGTATTCTCGTACTTTTCAAGATCGTTTCAGGATACTGTAAGCTAATACCTGATAGCAGAAAAGCGTTTGGAAGGAGGAAGATAACTACAGCGAGCTCGCCGGTTCCAGCAATCACACAGAGCCCTATATCTATTGGGAAACGAAAAACATCACACTACATAAGCCAACTATACTTGAGCCAACAAGACTAAATATGCGCAAAAGATGAGCTCTCAGGAAAAACTGATAGAAAACAAAGAAAGTAAGGCTACTATGAAAACCAACTGACTTGGCAGCTTCAAGTCGAAAGAAGTTAGTCTCCGTGGACTCATCGCATTCGATGTTGAACTTTCCCTCATCTTGAGCAACCAAGGCTAGATGTGTGATGCGAGTATCAAGCAGTGCAGTTTTCACCTAAAACTAGTGATATAGAAACAGAAGCCAAAGAGATCCACCCACAGCAATAAAAATGGCATCAAGAACATTTCCTCCATATTGCTGTATGACGATGTCTACGTACACCTTCCACATGAATTGTTTCGATAGAATCAACCTAGGGAACAAAGATGACGAAAAATATGAAACCTGCGAAACAACACGAACTTGTCCATGTTAGTAATAACGTCTCCATTACCATGGTACGCTTCCATCAAAATAGCTTCGATTGCTTCGGTAAAAAGCTCCCCACCTCGTGCTAAATGGTCGAAAGGATTCAATTAAATGTTGGAATCATAGTGAGTAACCCACCTTCAGTGCGAGCCGCTGCTAAGCAAGATGGGTCGACAGTGAACTGCAGGCAATTCGGAGCCAAAGAAGTATCTTCACATTCCAGGACTTCGCATTTCACGCCTACCTGTGAATAGCCATGAGCAGGGATAACGGGCAGGGGGTTAACTTTTTCAAACGAAAAACTGGGGCGGTGCCGTAAGCAGCAAGGAACAGTGCAAGTATTTTTGAATAACAAAGAATATTTATAAATTACCTGGCAAAATCAGGTAAATGACAACTCAAAAAAACTGAGTGCATGACTGAACTAAGAAATCTCGTTATTGCCGAGTTGGTACTCAAACACCGTAAAAGCACATTTTATAGCTGCAAAAACTTCATGCTTTCACGAGCAAACATCCAAAATTGATTAAACTTGAACAATAATTCAAACTGCGAAGATAACAGGTGAAAAAATATACAAATCATTTTAGTAGCCAGTTCGTAAGTACAGTGGCAAGTTTTTATTGAAACTGTAAAATTCAACAGATAGCTTTAGATGTAGTCATTACCTTGCCAAAATTTTGGAGAGTTTCTGCAAAACATTGATTTCCCGAGTCTTTTGAAAGGAATTCGCAATACAGTACGAAGATTCCGAAAAAGGTGAACCAAAATTAGTTTGATTTAAACACAAGATAAAGGACATATACAGGACTTGCGCAAAGAGTATAGGAGTTCAGGAATAATAATGGTCTACGAGCGAAATCTGAACGTAACGTAGTTTGACCTTACCACTGACTAATAATCATGACTATGCGGTCTCAAGTTCAATACAAAATTATTGATATGAAAACGCGAGAAGAAAAAATCTCGTTATCAAAAGCCCACCAAGATATCAGTCGTGTCAATCTTCACTCTAGAAGACCCGTGGGTTGTTGTCAAAGCAGGACTTTCGATCCAGATCGGGCGGAAATCATCAATACTGTAAAAAAGAACGTAAAGCGCGCTGAATACCTCGATTTTCACACAAAACTAACCCACGTCCATCATTGCGAACACCATCAGCAAATCCCTGCGCGATGAAGTGCTTCTCAGCAATGCCTAATAAAACTGGCTCCATCACCTAGCAAA